TTTTTTTAGACAGTTAACACTCTCAACAAACAATTTACAGCCGTAATATTTTTACAACCCATAATTCTTACTTGAATAATTATTAGACCGGCTCGTATTTGAGTCGCAGTTCAATATATATTTTTCAAATCACAATTTAAAGTAAAAATTCTTACTTTTCAAAAAGTTTCCTTTTGACTTGTGACGTGGTTGTCTCAGGGTTGATCCATTGGTCACGGCACCACATGTGACGTGGTTGTCTCAGGGTTGATCCGTTGGTCACGGCACCACATGTGACGTGGTTGTCTCAGGGTTGATCCGTTGGTCACGGCACCACATGTGACGGTTACACACCTGGCCCAGGGTTGAATCCCTTGGTTACGGCGCCAACTGTGACGTCGTTCCTCCTGGTCGCTCCTCCTGGTTCCAAGCGTGCCGCTCCAACCCCTTGGTTAGATGATCACCAGCCTCGCCTTTCCCAACTCGCTTCCAATACCTGGTTCCTGAAGCAACTGTACTGATCTCTGGTCTGTCTACCCACGCTGTGTTTAGATCTTAGACAGACGGGACCAGCAGGGATTGGGGCCCGATACAAGTTGAGTTCGACGGGGTGGCAAAACACAAGTAAAAAAAAAAAAAAAAAAAAAAAAAAACTCACGAGACAAAAAGATTGCTGATAAAAAAAAGGGTAACAACCTTTTATATCTAATGTCCGTTACATAAAAACAAAATTGTCCTCATTTCCCGACCCGCTCTGTGGACTATGGCACCAAGCTTCTATCACACAACCTAAAGATTTCGAATTGCCTACTCTTTAGAATTGTGTATGTCGGAGTGTGGTTTAGTTCGACACTGGGGCTAATTTCTATCGATCATTCGCAGTTGATTCTTCTCTTCGACTTGAGTTGTATTTCTTCTTCTTCGTCGACTTAGATAGAACTTCTCTTGTCTTCGACTTGGGCTGGATCTTCTCTGCGGCTTTCGAGTAATCTTCTTCTTTGTCCACTTGGGCTGGAAGTTCTCTTGTCTTCGACTTGGGTGGAAAGGATTTTTTGTTTCGACTTGGGTGGAAGGATTTCTTGCCGCAACTCAGCCGCTTCTCTCTGTCGTCCGAGGTGATCTCTTCTCGCTGCCGTCCGGGGCTGAACTCATGTCTTCGACTTGGGCTGGAAGGATTTCTTGTCTGAGGATTCTTTTGCCCGCAAAGGGGCGAGTGAATCGGGCCTGATGCCCGCGTTCAGGCTCTTTCCCTTCCCGCGGTCCAGCTGCAACTCATTTCTGTCGACTGGGGTCCTGCTTTTATTGACGCCGCAACAAAACGGGGTGGGTTTGTCGGCGTCAGGGGGTTTCTCGATAATTCCAATAGCCGCATTATTTCTGTCTTCCCATTATCGCTATTGTTTTCACCCCCTACTTCCTCACAGTGCCTTTGGTGAGGAGGCGACACCCATCTTTCCCGGTCCCTCGATGTCAGGTGACCGCTCTCGACCAATGATTCCTGATCGAGCATTTCTCCTCCTCTCTCCTGTATGCCACGTGACCGTTTCCGACCAATTGTTATTGATCGAGCATCCTTTCTCCTCCTTTCGGGCGTGGTTTACATCGTTCTTGTTTTAAAAAAACAAAATCAATTTTGCCCTTTTTTCGCACGTACAAAAAAAATGACAATCTTGGCCTTTTTCTCACCTGGGCTCTGTCAAAACAGCCTGCCGCTAATTAGATGTGACTTCAGGAAAGAATATTGGCGCCATCTGTGAGCTGAGACAATCGTTTTTTTTTCACCTCTTGTTTTTTGTCAGACCCGACAGTCAGAAAATCTTAATTATCTACATTGAAAATGTCCCCACTTTATTATCGTGGGTTTCCAATTCTTAATAGGTCAGGATCTGTATACAGTTCCACCGGTCACTCCCCTCAACCCAAAAGACACTTTTTCTCCGATTAAAAAATTTCGTTTCTATTGTTCTAAAAAAGAAATTCCCCTTTCTCCAATTTGACAATGAGTCTTTCCACGCATAAAAAGTAGGCTAGGTGCTTTGACCGATATTCTTATCAATCCCAATACACTGTCATCAAGCCTGGTTCTTTTTCTCCCTCTAAATGATTTTTTCATTTCAAATAACAATTCTCTATTGTCTTTTAAAATTCGGCCAACACGCAGGCCAAGATATCTTTCTGACACCTATCTTCGCTTATGACCGGGTCATGCATCATCCATCTCTCTTTTTTTTTTTTTTTTCTTTCTTCCTCTTTCTTTCCCCTTCCTTCTTCTTTCCTTAGGATCGTCTAAGTACAACTTTAGTGAATTATTTTCAACTCAATTATTTTCGTAAAAAAAAAAAAAAAATCAACAACCTGTTTAATAAACCGAGTAAAAAAAAAAATTAAATCATATTTCTATGAATATTTCTAATAATGCAAGGTGCCACAGACTTGTGACAAACCGAAAAATTCGTTCAGCGTATATATATATATTTTTTTTTTCTTCAAGTAAATACGTTGCACAATCCTTCGTCGCTAACTGTTATGGTTAGGCGTACGAAAAGTTTTTTTTTTTTTTTTTCAAGTAAGTACGTTCGAATCCTCGTTCAGCAACTGTTATGGTTAGACGTACGAAAAGTTTTTTCGTGTAAGTTTCGAATCCTCCTTCGCCAACTGTTATAGTTAGGCGACGTGAAAAAGTTTTTCCGTGTGAGTTTTGAATCCTCGTTAAGCCAACTGTTATATCTCGTCGCCAGTCGTTATATATCTAAAAAAGATATAATAACAAAGTAAACCCGAATGGTGGTTTAAATAATAATACTTTATATCGGAATGTAGGAATGTCAAAATACAGAGACAGAGTAGGAGTAAGCTAACCATCAATGGTGTAGTCCTCGAAGACCTTTGTTGTCGCTCTGTTGATCCCCTCGACTGTTTACTGTGGTCGAACTTTATCGGCACCCGGAACGTCCATTTATATTGGGGAAGTCAGGTTATTTCATCACAACATATATATATATATATATATATATATATATATATATATATATTAGCTTAAAAACTGCCCTATAGGCTAGCATTTAAGCTATCTCTTGCCAAGGTCTCTTAATTGGGCCTTCGGCTTGTTCAGGATTTTGAGAGTACTTAAGTCGTTGCATATTCTCAGCATTGGAAGCTTTCCTAGCTGCCATTTGGTCTAGGTTATCATTTCTTTTTATCACTGTAGACTTGGCTCTTTTGATTACAATCTGGTCCTCTGTTGGTGGAGATTTCCTTTTGCAAAGCATACCACTGCCATATGCATTAGGCAACAATAAACTACAGAAGAACTCAAAATTGATTGCTGCAATTAAGCATTGCATTAATATTTAAGCTTACCTTTTAAAAGTTCAACAATTCTTCTGCTGCCACTCAATTTAAAGACACTTTGATGTGCGTAGGTCCTTACTTTCCATACAAACAATTTCACTGGATTTCACAATTAATTTCAATTATTCCCAAATTTATACTAACATTGGCATTTATTACATATGAGCTATTGAGAGTTGTGTCCCTTTAATTGAAAAAACTGTGACACACTGACACTGGCATATATATATATATATATATATATATATATATATATATATATATATATATATATAAAATTTAAATAAAAACAGACCACTTTAAGCTTCCATGTCATAATTATTTCACCACAGCCCTTTTAAAGAACTGTGGATCATCAGACTTTACTTCCAAAGGTTGAAACTATATATATATATATATATATATATATATATATATGCCAAAGTTGGTGTTGCTTCATGACTAGGTGTTCCAAGCCTTTATAGCAATCTTGAAGTGGAAATGAATTAATTAGGATATATTTCAGTTGTTTATATATAAAAGTGAACATAGAAGTCAACACTTAGTCTTTCATGCTATATGCAATCGTCAGGCCTGATGATTGCATATAGCATGAAACAGACTGTCGCCTCTAAGTGTTGACTTCTATGTTCACTTTTATATTTACACACGCTCTATCTCTGATATTGACCACTTTATCCCATAAATATAGCACACCTTAAGACTATATTTCTTCATATATATATATATATATATATAATATATATATATATACACACATGGTAAAAATGCAACATGGCATTAAATGTTGGTCAAATGCATTTTAAAACATTTCCACTACACTCGTAATAAATTTTGTTTAGTGTTGGTATGGTTGCTTTTGATATAGAGAGCCTCAAGAATTTGAAGTTTTTATTTATTATTTTCATGTTGTAGTATATTGTTGTTGTCAGTAAGTATTTTTCTGTATTGCGATGAATTTCAACTTAACATTAAGAAGCTGATTAGAGAACTAGAAGGGATTATTATAAAAATAAATGTTATATACGCACACACACACACTACATTTCAAAAGCTTGACTCCACCCCCAGAATCACCATGAAATGAACTTAGACTAACTTAGCTCTTAGCGTCATTGAAAAAAAGAATAGAATCACTTGTCAAACTTATACATTGAAAAACTTTTGCAAGGAATAGCAAAAATTTGTGCTGCAGTAATTAAGACTAAAGGAGGTTGTTTTGACAAGAGCAATATTTGACCATAAAATGCTTTTTTTCTTCTTGTCATAATAAAATTTCTATTAAAAAAAAGATCATGTCTCTTTTTTTTTTTTTTTTTTTTTTTTTTGTTTTGTTTTTTTTGTACCATGTATAATATATTTCTCTTATTTAAAGTACAAAACAACTACTTTTTGGGCTAATTTTAAAAAATATTACCAAGGGTGGTCTCAGATTTTGAACTCTATGTGTGTGTGGTTACACATATATATGTAAGATTAGAAGCAAAATAATTCTTTAAATTTCAAATGATAGACTTGGTTTGTAAAGTCTGGATGATTTTAATGGTTAAAACAATTATCAGTAAAGCCTGTGTGTTTGTAAAATGGCATATTATTTATTTTAGGTTCATTTAATTCTTGTTTTGAGTTGTCAGATTTGTTGGTGATTGTTCTTTAAACTTTCTTTTCAG